TTATAAAAGCAATATCGCAATAAGACAGAAACAGAAGCATTACGTATTTTCCTAATTGAGATAAATTCCATCATGAAGCATTTTAAGCAGTGTTTCTGAAACTTAAAGAAAGATTTCTTAACAAAAATAGGGGTAATAAATAAAAATACTATAAATTATAAATGATATAATGATGCAGGATCACAAGATGTCGATTAATAAATTTTTTGTTGATGATTAACAAAAGGTATAAGGGAATAAAACAAACAGGGGGCGAATAGCTGAACACAATACTAATATATTAAATAATTACTTAGGCGCTACGACGAACTCTTTATGGATTTGATTATGTTATGGGACATTTTTAATAAGACAAGAAACTTATAGATCATGGAACATTATGTATTTTTAAAAAATGTCTATTTTTCCGGAAGTGTCATATTTCTGAGGAATCGCGTATATGTGAAAATGTATGGGACGTTCTATTATCTTGTTATGATACACTTTGATATATTTATAAAATGTTTATGTACTATTACGCCACTGTGTATATTTTTAACTTAATTAAATGTGCACTTGTACCTACTGGTGAAAAGTAATTTAATTGACTAAATAGTCGATCCATATATACATACGTATACCAAATTTTAAATTATTACCTTCGACCCGAATCACTACAATTAAATTGAACTGCGGTTATTAGCAATTTGCTTCGAAAATAATTAAGACGTATTACTAATTTCTGAAAAAAATAATGTTGTTTTATACGATGGCAACAATTTTGCTACAAATTCCAGCCTTTGAAGTAATGTCTTTGTTAAAAAAACAGCATGTATCCGTAATAAGCGTCTATAGTACAACATGGCCGGTTATTTTTCGCGGTTCACACAATAGCCTTATATGAGTATGAAGATGTCTAAAACATTTTACAAGTTTTACATAAACCACGAACGAAAGATCTGAAAACAACTATTCAGACGAAATTGCAGTAAATAAGGAATCTGCAAATGTCTACAAATCGGTACTCTTTGGGCTTTAAAATGCATGAAAATGTTTTCCCATTGAATCGCGGACTTTTAAATTTAATTATTTACCAAAATAGAGTACGTAAAGCGACACCTGGTATATTTCTTGGCACTCTGCGTTTAACGCTTTCAATCTGTGAGTGACTTTTCGTAGAATGTAGAACAATTTATTCATATCTACGAGAGCGCTTTGCTTAGCTGTATAAAGTTGCAGAAACAACTAAAAGTAGTATGCCAGATTACGTATATCCTAGCTTTAGGCTACAATTAGTAATAATTGAGATAATTAAACGGTGATTAATTGCTTCAAATTATGCCCAGAGTCGACCGTATCGTTGCGATATTTGCTGTTGTTGGCAACAATATTATAACGAATATGTAAGATAACTTTATATTCGTGCAAAACCGAACGATTCAGAAACCTTCAAGGATCGAAAACCAATTATCTAACGCACTGCGTCCCCTCGATTCGAAAAATATGTTTTCTTTTCTGCCCCGCCGCGGCCTTGCGTTTTACTAAACGAGATCAAACTCCCACGTTATTAATAATTAACAGGGATAGGTCGTTGCATTATTAATGAAAACCACCAACACTACAGGCGCACAGCCCAACACTACGATGGCACGGAATATAAACCTCTGTATATTTTTCGAATAGAGAATATTAGAATCTATGGGAGGTATTAGTCAGCGGCTCGAGTGCAATACAACACATATTTTTGAAATCGAGATCTTAGCATCTCCATTCTCCCTACATTTCTAATAATCCATTAAGTTTGGTAAACCCTGTAGAATTTGTCTCGTGGTTAAACAGATCTAAACTGGAATAGCACAAGGGCGTGATATGAATTTTACAATAGAAAAAGACGGTTAGCAATAGGGATTGTTGTCATTCTTTTGCTTTCTTATATACATGGAACAATCAGTTTTCTTCTAAATTAATTTTCGAAAGCAACAGCGCACACATTTTTATGTTCCAATATTTAAATAATGTTTTGGTCAGAAAACAGCAGTTTGTATTTTTTCAAAAATATTATTTCGTAAAAGTATTCATCCAAATATATACATTTAACCGACACAATTTATTTATTGAAAAGGAACATGTTTTAACATTCCTTTTTCTAATTTTTTTTCTAAACTTTGTTGTCCAATCAAAACTAACTCAATTAAATTTAAATTAAAATTAAAAAACACAAATATACATAGAATTGGGATAAACGATTGTTAAGATTTCTCAAAGCACAGCACAAAACACAACATTTTTATAGCAATCGCTCTCAACTGAAATTTTTCGCAGCTTAAGGTTTTACTATAAGCTAACGAACATTTATAAGGGGTGTATCAGAAATTTTGCTTTAACAACGATTTTTTATAGTTTTATAAGAAAACCATTGGTGTTAGAAGTTTTGTAAATATAAAAAAATCAGTGATTTTTAGGAAGGTATTATAGCGTTCCTAAACACATTATTTTATTCTTGAATTTTTATAGCTTCTCCATAAAAACCTTATATATCTTAAAGCACATAATAAATATTCTAAAGCTATTATGAAACTTAAACACCCTTGAGCTTGGAAGGACTGTCAACTTCTTCATTTGCAAAAAGGCTTTATTAGTCAATTGGAAACTATATCTAGATATTTATAAAGAAGCAAGTAGGCCTCTTTTAAGAACAAATACATAAACAACTAAGAAGTGGGGGGTATGATTGACATTTTCATACTAATAATTTTCAATTGGTTTTCTGGTTACTTTTAGTTTTACAGCGGTTACAAAACTTTTTGTAAATAACTTTTCGGTAATTTATAAAAAGTATTCCAAAATTACCTTAAGCTTTGTTATTAGACGAATATTGCTCTAAGACGTCTGGGTAAGTTTTATAAAAGTTTCCAATTTAATTTTTCAAACAAACTTCCATAGGCTAGTGTAATACTTTTTACACAACTTCTGGATTCCTCCTGCGTCGGTTTTTGCTGAGTCGAAATTGCTGACGTTTCGCCAATCATCCTGTTGGCTTCTTCAGAGCTTCACTGAAACTGGCTCGTATTTTACTCTGTACCTCCTTATATATTGTTTCAGGGGGTGGAGCTTAAGGAGGGGCATAATCACCATCTCGAATGACTGATTCCCAAATTGATGACAGGTAGAGACCTGAGTCGCGATTAAAGCTCTGAAGAAGCCAACATGATGATTGGTGAAACGTCAGCAATTTCGACTCAGCAAAAACCAACGCAGCAGGAATCCAGAAGTTGTGTAAAAAGTTTCCAAATTGTTTAATATTACTTGAAAGCTAATATAAAAGTGGGAGTTTTTAAAACGCGAAACTGGCATGAGTCGGCCATTGTTATGTTTTTCGAATTGACATAAATCCCTTCATGAAACATTTTAAGCAATGTTTATGAAACTTGAAGACATGTTTCTTTAAAAATGTATGATTAAAAAGTGGAAAAATGTTTCGTAATAAAATAAATAAAAAATCACCGTGTGAATTTTTCAGGGTTTTTAAGTTGTTATGATATTTATTAAGATATTTACATATTAATGTTTAAGTAAGAATCCACTATTGTCAACTTAAGACTGAAAACAAAATACAATAACGAAGAAACGCAATAAAATGTACCAAATTAATGGGGAGTAAAAGTTTTATATGAATCTAAAATTTGGTGGTCGTTACCTTTATAACATTATTCATTTAAATGCTTTAAGAGTAATGAAAATTGATAAGCTCTTATGTTTTATCAAAAAAGGTAATCGCACCGCTACCGTAACCGCAAAATACCAAACACCAATTAGTTGAGTTTGTTACGGTCATCTGCCATTAGCAGTAACGCCCCTCTCACGCTACATAAAATTAACCTCACAAAATCCGTATCGGCCGTTTTACTAAAACTATTCCATTTTGGTACATGGAGTTCACCGGGGTTAGATTGATAAATTGTCAATCATCTATCCACGCAGTTTCAAAAGGTTTACTTACTTCGACGGAGCGATCACGCAACTTTGAAGCTTTGCAGTTATCGTGATCTACGCGCCCTGAAAAAATGCAAAAAAAAAACAAACGCGTAAGCCGAATACGGAAAGCCGACAGCGAATTTGCAAACAAGAGAAAAATCGAGGCGTTTGCGGCAGCAGAGCGCGGCAGCGATCTATAGCCGGGCAGCATGAGGAGTGGCTGTTCCCTGCTCTCAGCAGGAGCTATTCTCGGCTGTCTACCGTTAAAAATCGACGGTAATATGCAGTAACTCAAGTTGAGGCGTGAACTACGGCCGAAACAAATAAAAGGAGTAGTCAAGGAAGAGTAACCTCTGTCGTAACCCCGTGTTGCAGGATGCGAAAGCCTCCGTATCCACGCTACTTGGAATGTCTGGCGGTTTTTTTGTCAGTCGCGAAGAGGCCTCTGCCTCGGCGGACACGTAATTGAAATATAATTACGGGCGTCGCTGTTACAAGGAAGCGTTGTTCTTTCGTGGTGAATCGTGGTGTTGGTGGTTCGAGTAAAAATTGGGCCCTCTGGCTTGACGTCGACCTATCACGAAGATGGGGCAATTGGAATTTTAAATTTTAAAATTTTATCGTAGTATTGATCTAATAATGCTAATAAAAAATATAACCTATATAAAAAAATGATGTTTCAATCAATATTGTTTATACTTACCTTTTGTCCTTTTGAAAATAAAAATTGATTTCAGTCATTTTTAACTGGAAATGTGACGAAACCTGGAATGTTGTTTGAGGATCACTAGTCCAGCCTGCTTGATGCCGAAATTTTAGAGACACCATTCAGTAAGTTTTTCCAGAATAGCTTTCGAATTTGATTTTGGACCCTCTAATTATTAATTATAATCACCTACTTGATGGCACATCAACCAGGTACTTGGAAAACAAATAATCCAAATCGGAACAAAGATGCCACAGGTCCCAAGTTTTCATGTCCCATTTCGACACAGAAATAAATTTACTTAACTAATATATCAATGTTCTTGTATTTTAAACTGGTTTTATTGAATACAAAATACAAATACTATTTTAACACTTTCTATTGATTAAAATATTTGGTGCAATAATTACAAGTACCATCCATACAAACAATGCTGAAATCACACAAAAATTTCTGGTGGTTCTCATTCAAACTCGTTATAACACTGCTGCATGATTCGCCATGCGAATTTGCCTTTGACGCATCTCCATCTTGTATCTCCTGAAGACATTTTCCGATCATGTGCTCTAAAATAAAAGTTTTTAAACACAATCAAAAATTTTGCCTCTTTGGTTAGTTATTTCTGATAGGTCTGAAACCATTATCACCGATTGTCGAAAGTTTCACTAAAATTCACCAACTTTTAGATGTACACTCGAAAACCTTTAAAACAAAACTATTCAGAGGGTGGTCAAGATAGATTTTTTTACTTGGTTCTGGTAACTATGTGTGGTAACGTGAATATTACAAGCTTAAAAACGGTTTCACCACATGCGGCTTTATATTTGACAATAAAAGAGGAATTTTATTATTATCCATTCACTTTTGCTGAATACACATGCAAATTTTAAATTACCTTTGCTTTAATTTTTATTTAATTAAAAATAATTTCAATTCATTTATATGTGTCATAATGAAAAATTCTAAAAATGAACTTATATAGAAATGACTAATAGACAATGTTGATGCTTTAAAATATTTCTGACCACACTGCGCGCCCATTGATGATATATCTTCTCACAGATTTGAAATTGAAGGAGGAGTATTTTATAAAAAGTATCGACAAAAATGCACGCCACTCAGTTTAATTTAATTTTGATTCGACTAAAAATGATTAAAAATAAGTTCATATTTATCACACAAAGAATCTAAAAAAACTGTAAAGTAACCACTTACACAAAGTAATCCAGGGTCCAGGGTCGTTCCTGATTGAGTTGCACCCAGGAATAATTCGATTTCTTAGGTCCTCTACATATAATATACAAATAATTTAACACCCTGTATATTAAAAAAGGCATTTCTGGAGCTACATTTATTTAAACTTATTTCATAAAATGACCTGAAGAACCATCCCCTTAAATGTTGCTGGGCCTTTATTAAACACCGTGTATATGCTTCACTTAAAACCAATAACTATGCGGTAATACGTTTTTTTATTTAACATACGAAACTACTAAACGTTTTAATTAACTCCACGAACGAACATTTTACCTCAAAAGTTATTACAAACTCTTGAAAATTAATTCGTACTCAAAATCGAATCTATATGTTTACGCGTAATAACGGAACCATTAAATTATTAATTGAAGCGTGTCAAATATTTTTCATATAAACGGTGGACGCGACGCATAAATTGTGCATTTTTATTTTCTAAAAACGGCACTTTACAAAGTGAAAAATGCCGCCACTTACTCCCCAAAATTAATAGTCAACAATTACGTTAAAGCCATGTATCATCGTAAAACCAATTGCGTATTTAAAAGCCACGATTAAGCGGTAAAAAAAAAAACAAAACAGAAACCATTACATACTGTTTTTCAAATTAATTACCTTGCAATTAATCTAATTAAACTGTCCTCCGTCTCGCTACAAATTACAGATCCAACGAACACCTAAATCTTGCGCAACGGTGTTTTTAATATGCCGATAAATCTATAAAATCGCTCCTTATCTCTTTATCTGAACTAATGGTTTGTACAGGAAATAAACTCACGCGATATTGTCGAGCAAGGACAATCGTTGCAGCGAGCCGTTATAACGATTTAGCCAATCAGTCATTCGTCGACATTTTTCGGTCAAAAATCGATATCGATTTCGTTTAGAATGTACATATCGACATGTCGACAATCGTACGCGAGCTTAGCAATTACTAAAATTACATGGTGAAGTTAATGCGAGAGTTGAATATGAACAAAATCATTCCTGTAGCAGCAAAGTGACGTAACACATTTTTTCCGCCTGTCCGACTACATCGTTCTTAATTCATCCGTGGTTTTTGCCTTGACAACTCCAAGCCACTAGGGTCGAAAAATAAGAATTACTAACTAAAGCAACAACAACTATATCCCCACTGATAACGTTAAAAATATATCAAGCAAGCTTGACTCAGGTACTAAGAAAATGAATGGGGCGTTAGAGCTTGAGCGTTTAACAGAAAAATTTTGTTTGCTCTTCAATGGTGTAGGAAAAATAATAAAGGAAGTATTGTTCTTTGTAAGGAAAAAGCTTTTAATAATGTACAAAGTTTAAAATGAAAATGTACGTATACAACAGCATTTTTTTTGATAATTTAAAGTATGATTTAACTGAATCAAACAAAAAATTTAAAAGAAATGAATTTGTGTGACACATACACAGGGAAGCAAAAATATTTCGCACAAAAAAGCTTGAAATCAAAATTAAAATAAGTCCAATTCAAGTCATTTGACACCGGCAAAAATGAATTTTTCTTTCCTTTACATTACTACGCGCTTTTGTTAAATTTCTCATCAAATTTCAAAAAGACAATTCAATATACACCGAAGGTGTTAATAAATATCCGTTTTATAAGCTTTTTACACCCTGTTCACCGATAACAATGCGTTCAAGCGGAAAGCGACATAAGGAAAAGAAAGCGTAATGCTAGTTTTATCAGCTGTTTTTAAGGAGTTTTTCTACCGTTGCTCTATAAAAAACAGGCTCGTGCGACAGGCAGACATAAAGAGAGATAGATAGATAGAGTAATAATAGGATTTTTTTAATCCGGGTAACTTAAAACGGTAAACCCATGAATTACGATGCGACAGCGACACTTTCCTAGTCAGACGGAAAACGCATTTGAATAAAACCGTCTTGCGACACTGGAAAACTAATTTCGTTTGTTAATTGACGTTAATCTGTCGCAATCGTGCCGTGCGATTCAAAATACGAAAAAAAAAACAAACCTCGTCGCGAACGAGCGACGCAAAACCGACACTGCCGCCGACTAAAGCGACGGCGGTGGTACTTCCAACGTCTCCGTCGGTTCCTCTCGGACGAGGTCCATCAGCCGCCTTTTGCGAAGAACACTTTCGATCTCGAGCTGCCCAGAACTGGAGCAGATCTTCTGTGGCGTGGTCCGAACATTACCAGCGGTACCTTCGTACAGCCAGTGTACCGCAGACCGTCGATCGGGCAGCACCACGTCCGGATGCTTCGTATAGCCTTGAACCACGTGCGCGCAGTACCAGGACGTACTTGAAGGGTGGGCGATTTTCTTTTGCTCGCCATCGAATGGTACCGGTCGCGGGGTTTGTGGTGTGATCGATCGTTGATGTCTCCCGGGTTAGTGGTCTGACGCCGAGTTGATATCTCTCTCCGCTGTGATAAATAAAATTCGACTAGAGTGATGGACGCCCTGTGAACTGTTTCGAGGCAATTTTTGACGTACAATGACTGTGATAGTTTGCGCAAAAACGGAAACCGAACTTTTAGCCCCTTCGGCCTGAGGTCTGTGACGTGCATTTAGCGAACCCCCGCAGGAATTTAGATAACGGCGCAACGACCTATCGGACTAGTTCGGGTTTATCCTAAGTTTGTGGATTGATAGTTAGGTAAGTGAGTGCCAGAAAATAGTGTTTTTTTTTTAAATAGGTTTTTTGTGTATATAAATCATCAAATTTAAATTTCAACTAAAACGTACTCAATTTTTTCAAATGCTGAAATATTATTTAATTTGTTCACGTGCCGTTAGGAATTTTTTGAACACTTTATTAAATGTTTTCTTTGATATATTAAAAACACTTTTCCTATAAATAATTTTTCAAATAATTAAATACTAAAATTCAGTATCCATTGACTACCACAAAAACGTTGAAAATTGATTTATTCAGCACGATAAATAAAAATTGTAACCTTAACCATTTTTGAACAATTTTTAAAACATTCAACTGCTTTTCCTAAAAGAAATTGATCTCCTATTGTTAGCACACTCAAATATAATGTTTTCTTTTTCCGTATCGTAAAACAAGAGGCCCTGTTACAATTAAAAAATTTCTAACGAATTAAATACTAAAGTTAAGTAAATCCGTTAAATATATGTACAGACTGAACTGTTCGAATTAACTAAAAGACCAAATAAATAACTAAATAAATACTTAAAATTGAATAAATCTATCACCAAAAAAATTAGTGTCAAAATATATAAAATAGTGACACGAAGAAAATGAAGTAGCCATTCCCGTTACTAAAGTTCCTTCAAAATAACATTTTATATGTCAAATGACATTTTAAAAATTTTAACGCACGCATTCCAATAAAATAAAATACGACAAACGCATCGTCATAAATTCTGGCAGGAATCGATCAAAAAAATGAGAACGAATGCAAATCTCTCTACTTGTACAAAGCAGTCTGAAATGATCGTATTTCCCATGGTTAACATATCTTCACAAGAATATTTCTATTTGCTAAAAGCTGTTATTGCGAGTAATTCCTATTTTGGTTGGCCGTTGGTTTCACCGGATATGATCGTTTCAAGCTTATCGTAATCATTAATAATCCTCATATTAACGATCGTACGAGACCACTATATACAACGCCATTTTTTTAATTGATATAGCCAAAACAGCGTCAAGTTTTCATTTTAATAAATCTCTATCCTCAATGGGCCCTCAAAATAGTCACTAGTTTGATAAATTTTAATGGTAAATATATTTTTTATTTGAAATCTAATTTTACTTAAATTTTAATTTCAATTTGTCTTTTAATGTCAATTGATGAACAATTACACCATTGTTTAACATAAAAAATTTGATAATAATGAAAATTTGTTCACTACCCTTATTCTTGAATACCGAGGACTAGAATTACTAAGAGTATATAACGAAAAAGAGGGCATTCCTCAAAATGAAAATATCATATTTTATAAAAAAAGTTCTTGATCGAAATAACTTCTGCTTTTAGGTAGAAATACTACAGGTTTTGGGCTATAGAATGCTGACCAAAATATATACTCAAGCTCTAACTATAAAAAAGTTATATTATTTTACTTCTAATTGATTGAAAAGTACACGATCAGTTTGCCGAAATTATAAAAATCAGGCACCTCCTAGGTTAAAAACATTTGTTTTTCTATATTTTCTTTCTTCTTATTCCCGCAGTGGTCTGAATTGATGAACGGAAATTCAGCCACTTCAAACATACCGTACGACCAAAATTCCTAAAAATTTTGAGTGAATCGAATTATTTTTCCACTTCTGTTTTTTATAAAAACATGTTTTTAAAATTATTTATTCGCGTCATTAATAATCTATAGTACAGGCTTTCCCAACGGAATATTTTATACTCATTCGTTTTTTTGTGGATCCCTAATTACTGTAAATTCGTAAGTGATTATTACCATTGACAAATCGATATGGAAATATCCATTAGAATATCTGATACGCATACGTATTTAAGTGCGTATTTATCACCCAAAAACAGATAGAATGTCAATTATTCTAAATTCCGTTCGCAAGTTTTCCCATCCACTCGAAATGATTAAACGGCCAAAACACGAATGATAGTGACTTAATTATCAAGTGATAAAGTCCCAGTTAGTAGTGGAATTAGACATAATTATAGCACTTAACTGGAGATATTTGTTATGCACCCGTTTACCTATCGATCCTCAGAAATAAATCACTGGGAACGGTAGAAGAATTCTTTGGTAGCCAAAAACGATAAGCTCGAGATTACGATTACTAATATATTTAATCGAAACAGGTTTTTGAAGTGAAAAAGCTACGAACTACCGGCATCAACTCCGATCTCCCATATAAAGTTATGACGTCCGTGGCAATTAGGCTAAGACTAGTCTACTTAATAATATAAAAAATAATACTAATACTAACAATACTAAAATAATACTTACAGATTTATTTCGGAAAGATTTGTTTCAGTAAGTGGTTTGGTGCTTAATCTAAAATAACGTGATTTTATTTTTCGACTAGGTAGGTAAAGTCTATTCATAGATATAAGAAAGTGACTAACTTATACGACTTAAGGAAAGACCCGGGCAAGCAAGCTGTAAGAATACAATATGACCGAACAGGTCCGTACTTTGCTTAGAATTTAATTATTTGGGGTTTTGTTAGGAAAGTTACTAAACAATATTTATTTATTTATGTATGTATTTATGTTTAAATCTAAAATAAAATTACAAATTATTTTTATTACCTACTTAAATGTGTCCAACTATGTGGAGGGATGTTAAAAACTTCAGTTTCTATAAGTTTGAGGACATTGGAGTTAACACGGGGGAAAACATTGTTAGGGCGAATGGCAGATTTCAGTTGGTGCCAAAGATGTTCAATGGGATTAAATATACAGTGGTAAGCCATAAAACTGTATGCCCTAGATTTTTTGCATAATTATCACAGCTATATAGAATCTCAATTAATTGCTGTTTGGTATAATCTCCGTGAAAATAAATGTCGTTATTATACATGTAGTTTTGGATTGTTGCTTTTGTGTCACATGAGGAAGGGGTTTTAGTCAACTGTCTACTGTGATAACTTGCATTGTCCATTACAATTACGCTATTAAAAGGAATGTTTGGAACTAGTTTGTTTTTAAACCAACTTTCAAATAAATCAGCAGTGGTGTCTTCATGGTAATCCAGAGAAGAATCTTTAATATTTTTCGCAGACAGAAAAAGTCGATTTGGAATCCAACCATCTTTAGAGCCAGCATGCAAAATAGTTATTCTTTTTCCTTTTTTTGATGGCGAGTTTGTTTTACACTTATCAGTTGAGTGAATCCAACCCTTTTCCGGGGTATCTTAAGTGTCGAACCAGCTTTCATCCAAGTAAATAATTGGCCTTTGTTGTTCTCTGTAAATCCTATTTTTTTCTAGATATTCCAGTCGCCATTTCCGAATTCTAAAAGATTCCATTAAAACTTTCCTTTTGTCAATTTTTTTAAATCTAAAACCCATGTGTTGAATACACTTCCATAAGGTTGTTCTGCCACATTTAACACCGGTTTCATCATTTTCAAGCCTCCTAATGAAGATATCTAATGTAGGCACGCTTTGTTCCTCGTATAACTGGTTAATTTTACGCCGTATTATATCTTGATCACTTTCATCTACACTCGAGAAAATGTCAGCATCGCTTTTTTTTGTTCCTTGCTGAAATGGGATTATTCATAATTTTCCATACAGTTGATGTTGGAATTTTCGTCAATGTGGCCGTTTCTTCTAAAGATGCTTGCTTGCTGGCACCAAGTTCAATGAGAGTCAAATATGTTGCGTAATTCGCACACAATTCAACACACGCTGTATTACACGCGAAATAAGAATGATTACTAATTAACTTAAACTAAGCAGTATACCAAACCAAAGAATATTAAACACAGGTAAGTATAAAATTATTTTCTATTACGGACCACAATTTTACCTGAATTTAAATTTCGAAATTTTAGGTAATAACCTTGTTGCATTGTAGGTTAATGACCACCCCTAGGATAATCCCATTCAAAAGCAATTGGTCACTTTCTTATATCTATGAACAGACCATACAATAATTTTTATGAGAGCATCCTACCCGTGTGTTTTTTTCCTTTCGCTGATCATTTTCCTTCCTATTTACTGACTTACTTCATGCAAAACTAAGCATCGAACAGAACCAATAATGGTAGAAAATGGCATCAGCCGAAGCGCCTATCTGAGAGCGTTAAGTTTCACTAACATTAAGGACATAAACATAGAAGAAAGCCAAGCGGACCAGAAGAACAAATTAATGACAACGTATTTGACAATAGGCACCTAACAACAGAAACAACCACCCAAATCTAGACAAACCCCAGAACACACAAAACAACGACAGATCTTGATAACCGTGGACACGAATAGCATCCTTAGAATAGTTGGAGGACAAACACAAGTTTAAAGAAGAACAAGAAAACGAACCCCGCGCAAATCAATTGATCGAGCCCATAAACAATAAATCTTCGCACTCTCACCATAAGTGCTTTACTTAAATCGACAACAGAAAACATCGTTAAAAGATCCACTTTATTGAATTTTTAACACGTTTTTTCAATCTTTCTTATGTGGAAACGTATTATATTTTAATGTAAACATCGTTACTCATGCACCCATTGTTACAATGCGATGCGTTGTTTGTTACGGTGGCCTTAAAAATTACTTTAATTAGTTGGTATTATGATGAAAATGACGCGCTCACAATTTGCAAGTCAATTCCGAACGATGTAAGAAGAAAAACCGCGTCGCTCGGTGAGGGTCCTTCAAGAATGACCCGTTCGAATCGGCAGTTGAGCGCATTAGCTTTCAATGCTCAAAAAAGGAAAAAGTTTATTATGCTACTATTTCCTTACATTTGACTACTCCACTGCATTCATCATCGTTACAGAAAGATACGATTGAATATTTTTTAACAACAATATTGAAAGAATTGGCAAAGTAAACTAAACTCACAAAAGGGCATAATATCTCAAAATTAATAATATATAATAATAAATAAAACATCCACAGCTATCTGTTGATTGCTACCGAACTATGTAATTTAAAATTTCTAATAAAATGTTTAATATTTACATTTAGTGTGAA